CATCACTATCTGGCTCAATATCTTCGGCAAGATATCTTTCCAATTCTGATTTACTACCTAAACTTCCACTAACTTCTTTATGCTTCTCAAATTGTTGTTTCGTTCTCATTCTTCCTCTATTTACAAAGTTGTTACAACCATGCACACTAGATATACTTGATGAGTTGTCAGATGAAGTGGGTGAAGATGGTACATGTAAAGAGCTTTTTGAGGATTTCTCAACATAATAATCAAATAATTTGTTCATGTATTTTTTCACTTCTGAACATAGCTCATCCCCAACTTCTTTTCCAAACATATCCCCAATTGCAAATGGAACATAATCAAGCTTGTTACGGGGATCCAACACGGATGAAATAAAGATCATCTTGTTCATTTTATGTGGTTCACCCCAATACTTTTTGAACTTTTCATTCATACTTTTTGCCATTTCTTTCAAATTACCATCTTCATTTTCCATCATCTCTTTCAAAATAAGATTAAGTTCAGCAATTTCAACAAAGTGTGTATTGCTAGTGACATAATTAGAACCAGAGACCTTCAAAGTAAGTACATAAAAGGTTTCAAGAAATTTCACCATTGACCTCACATTTTTCCAGTCAGCACTTGTAAGAATATCACTTGTAAGAATATTTGCACTAGTTCCATCTACATCACTAGTTCCATTTTCATCTTCAGAAGAAACAGAACCAAAGGTACGAAAATGATTCAAGTATCCAATATCATAAAAACTATATCTCTCAAATGCAAGCGCAAAATGTTGTGCTACATCAAGCATCAAATAAGTAGAGTTCCACCTAGTAGGAACATCTAAACACAATGATTTCTTACAAGTTATCAATTGAGATTCACAACATTCTTTGAACTTTCTAAGTCTTGCGGGAGATTGTTTAATGTACTTCACCGCTTGTCTCACTAGCTTGACAGACTTACCAATTTCCTTCAACCCATCTTGCACAATAAGATTAAGGATATGTGCCATACACCTCACATGAAGATGGTCACCATCCATAATGTTAGTTCCCCAATTACTCAATTGTTTAGACATTTCTTTCACAGTAACATCATTAGAACTAGCATTATCAACTGTAATAGTAAACACATTATCCAAACCCCATTCAAGCAAACAATTAGTAATGCAAGCTGCCATATCCCCGCCCTTATGACTAGAAATAGGACAAAAATTTATTATTCTTTTATGCAAAGTCCAATTTCTATCTATAAAGTGGGCTGTCAGGCACATGTAGTTGATTTTTTGTATAGAGGTCCAAGTATCTGTCGTAAGACAAACTCTTGGACGTGCTTCTTTGAAAACCTTCTTCAAAAGTTGTCTTTCTTCAAGGTATAGTTCATAACAATCTCTCGTCACGGTTCTACGAGAAGGAATATGAAATTGTGGCACTGTAACTCTCATGAAGTTTTTAAAACCCTCTTTCTCAACAAAACTAAACGGTAGCTCGTCAACAATTATCATTTTGGCTAAAGCTCTCCTACTTTGTGTTTGGTCAAATTTCCAAGTGCTAATCACCCCTTCTTTTGCTCCCGTTGAAGATGGTAGAAAATTAATTAGATGTTGACCTTTATCTACGGTGTCACGAGGAAATTTAGGACATATTCTCATATGATTATTCATTGTTGACGTACCATTATTCGATGTAGAAGCTGCATAAGGTTTCTCACAATACTTGCATTTGGCTTTCTTAGCTCCACTTTCATCAATGAACTTGTCAAAATGCTTCCAACAAGCAGCTCTAGGTTCCATGATTTTTCTTTTATTTGAAGTATCAACATTAACTTCAACCTCCTTGGGAGACGAGGTGTTAGATATGCTGTCATTTGAAGCTCCACTTTCACTTATCCTACTTCCAATTTGTGTCATCTGTAAAAAAAAAAAAAGTGAAACAAACAAGAATAACAACAATCAGAAAGACGCAGTACATTACAGTTCACAAATCACACAAATAATCACAAAGTTGCATACTTGCATTCAATGATTAAACTCACACAGTTCAGTTGCGGTTCAGAACTCAGAAGAACAATAATCACGCAATATATTACAGACTTACAGTTCACTAACCGACTCATTGATCAGTCCCTAACTAATAGACACTTAAACAAAATAGGCAGAACTTCCATGGACCAGTCAAATTATACTTACAAATTACATTCTTAAGTAGATAAAACTTAAATTCGTAATGAATAATACACATATCCATCCTCCCCTAGGTTTGGGCAACATGTGAAAATCAACCTAAGCTTCCTTTATGAGCATTTTCCAAGAGTTAATAATGCAAAATGCATATGCATTTCACAGAGACAATTATAGTTATATAAGAGTAAACTGTTTTGAGTGACATATGAAAATCAACCTACCAAATGCCCCATATTTCAATCAGCTTCCTTTACGAGAGTTAATAATGCAAAACTTTCAATGACTAGGGTAAAATCTGTAGGGTTTCTGAAACAATGTGACTAAAAGCTAAATTGGGACTTCACTTTTGCTTTTAAGCTTCAAAAGAGTGCAGAACAGTGATGGAGGAAACTAAAATTTATGTTACCGTAGACACAGCATTGCATGATCGAAAAGTAACAAATAAAGGAAACAATTTGAAAAAAATCTGAACATAGAAAAGAAAAAAAATAGCATAAGAAAAAGAACCAGCGATGGGGAAGGCACTGTAGTGGGACTAACCTTTGGTGTACAACCCGGTGAGGCGGCGACGGAGAACGTGAGGTACTGGAAGTTTAGGAAATTGTCGTCTCAAGCGGCAGCCTTGAGAGTTGAGACGACGAGTTGAGAGATGAGAGATGAGGGTTGAGAGACGAGCTCAGAGCTGCAGCGTAACTGAGAGTTTGAGACGAGAGTTGAAAATTATGGACTACACTGGTCTGAAATTAGGGATTTTTAAATTTAGATTGGAATTTGGGCTGGGCATGGGCTATTGGGCTGAGAGTTGTATTTTTATTAAAGGAATGGGCTGAGATTTAATGAAGGGGTAAAGAATATATATAATATATATATCTAATTTCGGTTTTTCGGTTAACCGATTTTTTAAGCTAAAAAACCGAAAACCGAACCGAAAAACTGAAATATTGAAAATCAAAACCGAAACCGACCGAAATAACCGAAAAACTGAAACCGAAATATAAAAAAAATCGGTTCGGTCGGTTTTTTCGGTTTTAACCATATTATGCCCAGCCCTAGCCCTAACCCACCTTCATACTAGTATTTGTTGAGATACAATTTTTTTTCAAGAATATTACTTTTTACTTATACATTAAACACAAAAAGTAAATAAAAAATCTTACTTATTTTTTCAAAATTAAGTAAAAGTGTTTTATACCAAATGGTGGGTTTCTCTTCAGGTAAAAGGAATCTCAATGGAGTTAGTCTTCAAAGGGAAGACAAACGTGCTGCCCCCTCTACTTTGATTAAAATAAAAACTTTTGAATTATGACTTCCCCACTACTAAATAATACATGCATGTTTTTATTGATTTTTATCGGATTGTCTATTCTTATGGTTTTAGGGACGACATTCCCAACAGAATTAATAAAGAGATCCAATCATCTTATTATGATCTATGGTGTAATGTTTTTACTGGATTTAATTATGCTATTTGATAACTTATTTAGCTTTTCATAATGCATACATTCTTTTGAAATTCAAATTGTATTTATTATAAATATTTGTATTTTGAGTGTTGTGACTTTCCGGCACATCTATTTTCATTCTATAATGTTTATTTTTGTTTGTATTTTTTTTTTAACTCTCTTTATCTCTTATATATATTCAACTTACTAGGATTTTATGATATTAGATTAGTGGAAGATAAGTATAAATCTATTTTAAATTTTCATCAACGTTCTAATTGACCTTTTGTAAAGCTCTACATTATTTTTCTAAACTTCACGTTTATTGTGAAAATCTCAGATTCTAACAAATTTTTAATAAATATTTTGAAATTACCTATAAATTCGTTATGTCTTTAGTCATAAACTTAGGGGTAAGGGTGTAATTATGCGGAGAGGAAGAATACAATCAATGTGGAATGTCATTTGTACAACTTAATTTTCCTATTTTCACTATCATATTCCCCACTTTCAAAAACCTTAGTTCTCAAAAATAATTTAACCAACCGAATACAAGAAAAAAAAAATCAATGGAATTTTTTTTTCTAAAAACATTGAACACAATTTTTTTTTAAATAATCGAATACAAAAGAAAAAAAAATAGAAATTGGAACATGGGGTGTGTAAAGGGAATTCTTTTACAAGATCATGAGGTCTAATATATAAAGCCTATAAAATAAATAACATAATTGAACTATTTGGTAAATGAAAACTTTAACCAACCGAAAACAAAAAAATGGAAAAAAGTTTTTCTAAAGAAATTGAACACAACTTTTTTTTAAAACCGATCGAATACAAAAGAAAAAAAAATCGTAACAAGGGGTGTGTAAAAGGAATTCTTTTACAAGATCGGGAGGTGTATAAAGCCTATAAAGTAAATGACGGATAGGTTTAAAGTATTATTTTATAAATTCTATGATATTAAATTTTAGTAATTTTACTAGTAAACTACATAATTGAATTATTTGGCAAATGAAAAAACTTTAACCAACCGACTAAAAAAAATGGAAAAAAGATTTTTCTAAAAAAATTGAACACAAACTTTTTGTAACATCCCACCTTAAAAAGAGCTAAATTTAGAAACCGCTAATTTGGAAATAGCTAAATTGAGATTGGGGCAAGTCAGTCTCCAATTGTGAGTTTTGGATCAACTTCAAACGACCATAACTTTTAGCACATGATGAGTTAGGTGACTCATAAGATATCAAATGAAAGATCTCTGAATCCCCTTTCCAACGCCACCAAGTTTGCTAAAATCCAAGTCCGGATGAGGGAGATATGCCCGTTTGAGTTTAGCATGTCCAGTTAAGGAAATTTACCCGAATTAATGAGGGGTATTTTGGTCTTTTCCTTACCTCATTAGCTTTAAACATTTTTTGAAATATTTTAGGGGTCTAAACTGACTTAGATCAATTTTCATAATTCAAAATCACGCTTAGGGTTTTGAGAGGAGTTCAAGAGGAGGAAACAGGGAGGAGTTTAATCGTTCGTCAAGATTTCTTACGAATTGAGAATTTGTTTCATCAAATTAAGGTATGTAAGCTTCCATAGTGTTGGGTTTATTAGCTCACGCCAAGTACGTAATCTCTTATCCATGAATTCATCCTTGATGTTGAATTGTTGAGTTCTTGAAAGGTTCTTGAATTTAATTAGTAATGGAATGCTGTTTTGAGTTCTTCAGGCGAGGATTTGCGAATGAGTTGAGTAAATTGATAGTTCTTGTGTGGGTTTTGCTGAGATTGTTCTGGGTTATAAGAATTCGAGAGTTTTAACCTTAGAATTGTAGTGGGTATGAGTTGAATCGAGTTTGGGAGAGGAAGAAAAGATCGGGAAAAAAAAACAAGCACCCAAGTCCGCGTCGCGGACATGCTTCAAATTTCAGTCCCCAAAAAATTTCCTCCCTCTCTGTGTTGCGGAGAGAATGCAGACTCCACTGTTTCAAAAATTATTTCGCGATCAAATAATTTAATTTATCTCCGCGTCGCGCCTTTGCTCCCCAGTCAGTGTCTTTGTTCGTTTCTTATTATCAACTATCTAAGTCTCATTTAATCATCACGAGATCCTTCATATCATAAATCATAACTCTTGAATTCATAATTCATAATTCAAATTCAAGATAGAGTTAAGAGTCAAGTTTGAGAAAGTCTTTCGAGTCATTTTGAAGCTTTTTGCAAACTTTTAAATCTTGTTTTAAGACTTGAGTACTTGAGTATGATGAGGAGAGTTGAGTTTCATTTTTTAAAAATGAATATATGGGAACTAGTATTCCCAAGAGTAAATGTTTAACATTTAAAATGAGAGGAAACTTTGATTTCCATAGGAGTTAATAAGGAGTTTTGAGATCTATCTCTTTTAAGAGAAATCTTTGAGTAATAATCTCAAAGTTTGAGGATGACGATGAGGAAATGTTTTTAAACATATGAGCTGAGTTATATCTATTTCTATTTCTATTTTCCTGGAGAAAATGTAATTTACAAAGATAATAGGTTATGAAGATGGGTTTTGAGTGTCTATAATGTCATTATGATATTTTTACTGAGAATAGATTGAAAATAGGAGAATTTGAGAAGAACTTGCCGGTAGATATGGTGGTGGTCATGGCGGAGGTAGAAGCAATAGGTGCCCTTTTCTCTCTCTAGGAAATGGAAAGACGAAAGGGTGACAAGAAAGAGTTGCTCAGATTGCAAGCACCCCTCATGATTTCCAACTTTAAGATTGTGAGCTCGAGTCACAAAGGAAGCAAAGATGAATTAAAACTCCAGGGGAAGGGGTAAAAAAAGAAGAGAGTAAGACGAAAGGGTGTTTATGCATTTTGTTGCTCCAAATTGCACACGCAAGTGTACGCGGTCGCGCAAGTAATATAGTGGATCTTAAAAGAACCAGATTATCGAACCCAAAGGACTTGTCAATTAACTATTTTTACTAAATTATACTTATCTAATTTATTTAGTTAAGAGAACCAAAAGAGAAGAATGCAAGAACAAAATAATAAAATTACTTACAATAGTTGGAAAATCCCAGGGCTGCAACATGTATTGGATTTCATGTATCATACTCTTAGCTTAGAATTCACTTCAGTTGTCAAATTACTGGTTTATAGGGTTGATAGTATGGTCCAGGTGGTTCGCCTCTCGCCGCCTACCCAAGTTAGCCATCTAACTACATCGTTGAGCGGGGATAGATAAACTAACTGGCGAGCATTTATATTTCATCCTATTTCGTAACCAAGCAAGGTGTTCGTCTGGG